TAGAGTTTTACTAATTATCATGTGCCGTACAATCTTTAGCTAGAATGATGTACCATTTTTTCCTGCCAAAATGAACCTGGAACCCAAGAAAAATCTGCATTTAAAACTAAGAGAATCTAATTTTAAATGCTTAAATATGAAATAATATGGCCGTGCAACAGTATGGGTTGGGTATCCCTTATCTGAAATGCTTGGTACCAGAAGTGTTTTGAATTTTGGAATATTTCCATATTCATAATGAGATATCTTAGAATAGGACCCAAGTCTGAACACAAAATTCACTTATGCTTCCTATACACCTTATATACATAGCCTAAAGGTAATTTTACAGTTTTTAGTGATTCTGAAACAAACTCATGATATCAAACTGTCCATTGTGGCATCTGTTGGCCCTCAAAAAGTTTTGGATCTTAGTCACTTGAAGGCCACTTACTAGATCAAGAAACAGGGCTAATTGGGGGGGGGGGGGGAACAGGGCTAGTGAACCCAATGTGAGCTAACAAATAAGTGAAATAGTTTAGGTATAGATTACTGGGGAGAATTATTTTTAAAATTATATAATTAGATAATTAAGAAAACTCTTCACAAAAATGAAGTGTATAAACATTAAAATCTTCACTGGGTGTACTGTTGCATGCCTATAATCCCAAGACTCCAAAGGCTGAGGCTGGATTGTGAATTCAAAGTCTCGGCAATTTAGCGAGGCCCTAAGTAACTTAGGGAGACCCTGTCTCTAAATAAAATATAAAAAGGGCCAGGGATGTGGCTCAGTGGTCAAATACCCCTGGGTTCAATTCCCAGTACCCTCCCCCCCAAAATTTAAAATTTTGTGGCCTATAAATTGTATACTATATATATCTTCATATCCTGAAGTTGAGTGGTAGACCACTTAAATTGGAGATGGACCAACACTAGTTCCATAATTTACCTGACACCTACACTGAAGACTGTAAGTACCAGAGTAAAGAAGTTGGAAAGATTTCTTTGGAAAAAGTTTATATGGACTATTATAGAATTTTTTCCCTTGTTTTCAACTATGTACAAACATAGTTTTGACCTGGTCCCCTGTAAACTGCTGATACAGAAAATAAATAAATAAATAAAATGAAAGGTTTTTTGCTGTGGATATGTCAGCATCACAGGTCTGGAGACAGCTTAAAAGGGACTTTGCCCAATAAGAAACATTTAGATGACAATGGGAAGTTTTAAAGAAAAGTTTAAAGGACTGGAAACTAAGGACTGTTAAATAGCTGGTTAAATGTATCACCAATATAGATAGCACAGACTGCTAGCACATCAGCAGATCACTAGCTAGAGACAAAATTACATCAGTTAGGTATAGATATGTGATAAACTTCTTAGCTAACAGGATGTAAGAGAAAACAATATGGGTCATTTCCTCCCTGGTCTGAAACTTCACAACTTGCGTTTCTTGCTCTTTGCCCTTCCTACTCCCTGCAAGAAGCAGAGATTGTCACTGAATAGTTATTCTATGTTGAATGCCAAACTGAAGCTGATTTTCATACATTCTGTTATCCTAATGTATCTATACCAGTATCATAGGGAACAAACCCAGATTTTTATTGGGTTCCAGGGTCATTGTGGCAGGACTAAATGGTACATCATTCTATGGTTTGGATGTGAGGTGTCCCCCAAAAGCTCACATGTGAGACAATGGAAGAAGATTTGGAGGAGACATGATTGGGTGATAGCTTTACCTAATCAGTGAGTTAATCCCTGATGGGGTTAACTGAAGTGGTAGGGTATGGCTGGAGGAGGTGGGAATTGGGGCATGGCTTTGGTGTATATATTTATATCTGGCAAGTGGAGTCTCTCTCTCTGCTTCTTGATCATGATGTGAGCTGCTTCCCTCTGCCACACACTCAGTCATGATGTTCGGCCTCATCTCAAGCCCCCCAAAATGGAGCCGGCCTTCTATGGACTCAGACCTCTGATACCATGAGCCCTCAAATAAACTTTTCCTCCTCTATATTTGTTCCGATCAAATCCTTTAGTCACACAGCAAAAAAGCTGACTAAAACACCAACTCAATCAGATCCTGTCTCCTGAAAATTATGAATTCTAGCCACAGATGAGAAAGCAAGGACTTTCTTCTAAGAAAAAAACCTGAAGTCATCAGAGCTACTGTCTTCTTGATGGGAGGCTGTAGGGGATCCTATCGGTCCAGTTCTCTATAAAGCCTACTAAACATTCTGGGATAGGTGCAATGGGACTCAGAGGATTGATTTGATGGTTGAATGGTTTCTTATCATGAATTCCCATCACAAGACACAAACCTATGACTACAGTAAACTGGGAAGGAAGCAACAGTATAAACAGTAATCTCTCTCCTTCAAACTGCAATGTTATGATGTAATAGATAATTAAACAGCATCAATCATGAGCATATCAAGAAACTGAATGCATACATCACAGAATTTTTAAGATAGAAGATAAGTTTAAGATTTACTCTTCTAAAAGAATTCAGGTCTTAAGTGCAGATATGATAGGAATGTTCATTTACCTCTGCTGTTAGAGATAATTCAATGGAAAAGTTGGAGAAGCACCAACCTCCGGCAACTCTGAAAGTTCTTTTCATAGTAAACTGAAAGTCTAATTCACTAGTCATTTAACATGATTTTTTGCCTCTCTTATATCCCCTACTAAATCAGATGGACAGCATGCTTTTATTTTGTTTATTTTTTTATGTGGTGCTAAGGATTGACCCCAGTGCCTCACACATGCTAGGCAACTGCTCTGCCACTGAGCTACAGCCTCAGCCCCACTACTAAATCATTATATGCTTTGTGGTAGAGTGAATATGACCCCCAAGATACCTAGGTCCTAATTCCTAGAACCTATCAATATTCATTATATGACAACAAAAGGGCTTTACAAATGTTACTAAGCATCTCGAGATGGAGCAATTATCCTTGATTATCTGGATGGGCCCTACATGTAAATATGAGTGCTCTCATAAAAGGGAAACAGAGGGGGACTGGACCGCAGAAGAGAAGGTGATATGATGATGGAATGATACGCTTCGGAAAAAGGAGCCACAAGCCGAGGAATATAAAAAAACAGTAGAAGCTGAAAAAGGCTAGGAAATGGATCTTCCTTCATCAGAAAGAATCCGGCCTGCAATATCTTAACTTTAGCCCAGTGAAAATTATTTCAGTCAGGCTTCAGACCTCCAAAACTGAAAGGAAACATATTTGTTTTATCAGTAAGTTTGTGATAATTTGTTATAGCGGCCATACAAAATTAATACACCTTTTGATAGTTTAGCAGTGATGTGCACATGATCCAACTTATATTAAACTGAATTAACATGAGGATCGTTCCAGTTTAGAAATAGAGAAATTTTCTTGTTTTTTGCTATAAAGTAAATGAAAATACACAGAAATCACTGCAAATACAGTTCCTTCAAAGAAGTATGGTGAAAAAACAAAAGAGATGGGCATGGTGGCACAGTGCCTGCAATCCCATCGACTGGGGAGGCTAAAGCAGAAGGATAAGTTCAAAGCCAGACTCAGCAACTTACTGAGTCCCTAAGCAACTTAGCAAGACCCTGTCTCAAAATAAAAAATAAAAAAGGCCTGGGGATGTAACTCAGTGTTTTAAGCTCCCCTGTGATTTCAACTCTATTTGTAATACATATAAGCTGCAGAAAGGGTAGTCCTAACTTTAGGTTAAAACAAAAATACAACTCAAATAGTGATGAACAAGGTGAGAGAAAAGAACTCAGAAAAGCAGTTATGTGGGCTGCTTTATTTTTGTCTTAAACATAGAACAGCCTAAGGAAAGAACACAATCCAGACACTTCTCAGTTCACACACCAGAACTGTCCCTGAACCCTGGACAAGAAGGCAAGTGATCTAGATAGGTTTAAGAGGTGTGTTTCTATGCTATGTGCTACCACTGTTCTACTCTGTACAGTGGGTTCAAATTACAGTCCAAATATCAGAAAAGAATCTGAAACGCAGATACAGTCAGGTGTAGTTGATGTAACACATTTTATATAAATTTCTCATTTGATCCTCACAACTGTAAGAAATAGACAAATTTGCTACTGATTTTAATTCTACAGTTGAAGAAGCAGAGGATGACTTAACCAAAGGTCCAAAACTGCCTCCACTCTGATGTCTTTCTACTTTATCAGTTTACCACCATTATCATAATCAATTTAATTTCAATTTATTTTAAAGTAATTTAAAATAATCTCAGTTTAGAAAACAGAAGTAGCATTTTGTAAGTAACACAATCTTTTAATTTTACATCCCTGTAAACCGAATGCCACACTCTGCATTTTCCTTTGCGCTTTGATTCAACCAAGCTAAACACATGGACGTGTAAATTAATGTCTAAGACCATTTCTTTCTGTGAAAATGAGAACTATTAACAGCGCCTACCTCTAGAATGCTGTGAGGATTCAATGTTATAATACATACAAAGTGCTTAGCACAGTAGCTGTTATTATAGCACATACTACAGATTTTCACCAGGGTCTCTTCCCTGGTGAAAATCTGCTAACATGGAAAAATGCCAAATGCAGAAGGCGTGAGAGGGAGAGTGAAGGAAAAAAGGACTTGTGACCCTTCCTTGGAAACTGGTGCTTAGCTTTTGCCAGAAAATAACCCAGAGCACAGGAGCTGGGGTAGGCGTCGGCAACACCAGCCTGACCTGCACAAGGCCCTGCAATGCAGCAGGACGTGCCGGTTTGATCCAGGGACTCTGACCCCAGGTGAGAAGCCGCAGGACGTGCCGGTTTGATCCAGGGACTCTGACCCCAGGTGAGAAGCCGCAGGACGTGCCGGTTTGATCCAGGGACTCTGACCCCAGGTGAGAAGCCCCAACACGTGCTCCCTCCTCCCCGTCATTTCCCATTTCCTCGGAGTTACCCACCCTAGAGGTTCAGTGACTCGGACTTTCATGACTCCACCCGGGCTCTAGTCACCTGCCCATCCCAGGACCGTCCCGCTCAGCCCTGCAAAAAGTACCTCTACTGCAAACCCCAAACTGGAGCTGGAGAAAAGTCGAGAGTTCGGTAGTAGATGAGAGCTGACATCCGGAACTCCGCCCCCCCCCACCTCTTTGATTGGATAAAAGCGCAAAGGAAAATGCAGAGGATTGGTTAGTAGGAGAAAGGCGGCCAAAACCCCCGGGAAGAAAAAAGGTGGGGAGTGAAGGCGCCAGGTCTTCTTCATAAACTGTCCTCTCTAGCTAGCTCCCGATTGGACGGTAGAAAGGCGTATGCGCCTGCGTAGACCCAGTATACGTAAAGCGTCACACAGCACCGCCCATACGCTGCGTTAACGGAAGTTTCAACCACCCCATTGGTTGGGATGGAAGTTTCAGCTGCGTCCAATAAAGGGCAAGAATAAAGCAGGTTCCGCCTCTTCCTCAGCGCCCCAAAACTTCCTGTTGATATTGGGATATGTGGGTTCTTTTCAGCGTTTAGACGCTAGCGCTTCCACTGATCCAGACACGGGTAGAGAACTGTTATGGTGACTAGGAGTCTTGTACTGAGGGTGAGAAATAATTTGGAAGAGTCAGGCTCTGAAAAATCAGGGCAGGAAGCCTAATTCCATGTTTGAACGCGGAGGATCCACTCCTTCAATTCCTCACTGGCACGACTGTGGTTTAGGAAGTCTGTGGTTATCATTGGATAAAAAAGATATCAATTTGTAAGTAGCTCCGCCTTAGCCCCAGGGTGCTCTGGGATTTGTGGTCCCGGACGCTAAGGTCCTAAAGAATAAGTGTGGTGGTTGCTGTAGTTTTTCCACATTGTTCTTAATACCTGTTGACGTTTATTGTGGTTTTGATGTGATGCGTTGTGCTTTTATCCTTTCGTATATCAGCACTGTTAAAGGCAAAGATAAAATTGAAAAATGTCACGTGTGCTCATAAAAGATAAATGTTAGTGTTTTCAAGAAACTTGTTTACTGACTGATGTGCCAGGCACTCTGCTAGGTGTTCATAGTTAGTGTGCATTAAAATTGTTTGTAAATTTTTGCTATTACAACAAAACCGCCTTTAATTTTCATATGGGTGACCATTGAAAATATTTGAACAGCCTGGTGCGGTGGGTTGTGCACGCCTGTAATCCCAGCGGTTGGGGAGCCTGAGGCAGGAGGATCTTGAGTTCAAAGCCAGCCTGAGCAACTTTCCGATGCCCTAAGCAACTCAACGAGACCCTGTCTCTGATAAAATATAAAAAGGGCTGGAGATGTGGCTTGGTGATTAAGTACTCCTTTGGTTCAATGCCTGGTACCCCCAAAAAAGCAATTTTTCTAGATTTAAAAGTTACACTTTATAGGATTAAGCTAATAAAAAAAAGGCTCTTATGACTGATGGTTGGAATTAATTCATCTTTGTTTAAAAAATAAAATTATTTTTAAAAATCTTGTCCTGTATTTTTCTTCAAAATCATTAGAGGTTTCAGGTTGTATGTAAATGGAACATTACAGATGTAACTCTTTATTCCCAATAAATGAAGTGTCACGTTGGATGAAAAACCACTTTAGTTCTCCTTTAATACTCTGTGCAGTATACTAAGTGAAATGTATCATTACAGTAAAGATTACCCTGAGTCAAAAATGCAAAATTATGTTTTAATGCTTTCATTAATCAACATTTTAATAGTATTTTTTTTTTTACCTCCTGTTTTATGTTCTTTTCTTTGCTTTTGCATCCTGTTTTAAATCAGTGATCCATTTGGGATATAAATTGAATATTCTATGACTAAGAATAAAACCCATTAAAAACTGTATCACGGCTTCTGTGGTTCAAGGCATCAAGGCTGTTACTGTGTAGTGGTTAGCTGAGTGATAAATCAACTGATTGAATAAATTGTGTGCACTTTGGCCTGTTGTGTATAAACTTTTTTTTTTAAGAGGTGAGGTGAAGCTCTTTTTGAGAGAGAGAGAATTTTTTTAATATTTATTTTTTAGTTTTTCGGTAGACACAACATCTTTATTTTATTTGATTGTGGTGCTGAGGATTGAACCCAGCGCCCTGGGCATGCCAGGTGAGCGCCTTACCGCTTGAGCCACATCCCCAGCCCGTTGTGTATAAACTTTTTTAAGTTCTCACTTAGCAGGGCTTTTGGACGATCCCCAAGTGTTCCATTTCATTTCTTTTTTTTTTTTAATTTAATATGTGCATGGTATGTGTTTCTATTTCTCTTGGGTGCAAACCTAAATGTAATATTGTTGGTTTGTTTGATAACTGTTCACTTTTTTTTTTTTTTTTTTTGGTGCTAGGGATTAAACCGAGCCGTCCCACATGCTAAACATATACTCTACCCCTGAGTTACACCCCAGGCCCTAAGTATTCCTTTCATTCATTCATTCATTCATTCATTCTTTCATTCATTGGTACTGGAGATTAAACCTAGGGGTGCTTTACCACTAATCACATCCCCAGCCCTTTTTTTTTTTTTTTTTTTTTTTTTTTTTGAGACAGGGTCTTGCTAAGTTGCTTAGAGCTTTGTTAAGTTGTGCAGGCTGGTCTGAGTTTGGGATCCTCCTGCCTCAACCTCTTGAGTCACTGAGATTACAGTTGTACACCACTGCCTATTAAGTGTTCTATTTTAAAGAGAAAAAACTTTTAATCACTTTTTTTTGGTGTGAATTTAAAAACTGAAACTCAAACAGATACCATTACTTTTTTTAATGGGATGAACCTCTCAATCATCTTTGTACATCATCTGTTGGACTGTAGCTTAAGGAGTGCATCAAAGTAAATACAAGGTGACTCTTGAGATGCAGGGAGAAAATATTAGAACCCCTATTTGTATTTAGTGTTTTTTTAAAGAGAAAGAGAGAGAGAATTTTAATATTTTTTAGTTTTCGGCGGACACAACATCTTTGTATGTGGTGCTGAGGATCGGCTGCACGCATGCCGGTCGAGCACGCTACCATTTGAACCACATCCCCAGCCCCTGTATGTACTTTTCAACCTTATTTTTCTTCTCATCCCTGTGTTTTAAAAATTTTGTACATGATATAATAGTGTAAACTTTTTGATATATATGTAAAAATAAATTTGTATTGGAATAAGTGATAATTTTGTTATTGACTTATGTGATCAAAAATAAACCAATCAAAAAATCAGTGAAGGCCAGGTACAGTGGCTCACACTTGTAATCCCAACAATTTGGGAGGCTCAGGCAGGAAGCATATGTCCTCATAAATTTGAGGACAGCCTCAGCAATATAGTGAGACCCTATCTCAAAGTAAAAAGGGATGGGGATGTAGCTCAGTAATAAAGCCCCTGGGTTTAATCCCCAGTAAATCCCATACCCCACCCCACCAAAAAGAAGGAAGAGGTTATTCTTTAATCACTAAAGAGCTAGTTTTAAGAAATAGTTTTAAATTGCATTATGAAGGGGGTAAATTATCATTTAATTAAAATGGTAAATAAAAAATTATATATACCCATATACACACATATGTACACAAAATATTTGTATTTGCTACTATTAAAATATACTATATAAGGGCTGGAGTCGTGGCTCAGTGGTAGAGTGTTTGCCTTGCACACCTGAGGCCCTGGGTTCAATCCTCAGCACCAAATAGAAATAAATAAATAAATATAAAGATATTTTAAAAAAAAAAAATATATATATATATATATATATATATATAAAATATGCTGCAAAGCCCAAATTGTACATAATACTGCTTGCAAATTCTTACACTTAATCATATATCTAGCTCAGCCAGAGAAAAGGAACCTATAGGAGAGATACTGTAAGGTTTTGTTTTGTTTTTTTTTCCCCAAGGAATTGATTCATACAGTTGTTGGGGGCTGGCTAGGCAAGTCTGAAACAGTAGAGCAGGCCATCAGGGAAGGCAGGCTGGAATTCTCAGGCATGACCTACAGTCCAAGAAGAATTTTGTTGGGCAAACCTGTTCTGCTGTTTTGCTCTGAAGGCCTTTCAATTGATTCAGGTTCACTCAGATTATCAAGGATAATATCCTTAAAATCTACTGATTATGAAATGTTAATCTTATCTACAAATACCTGATTATTACAGTCATATATATAGAAGAACTTCAGATCATTAAAGAGTAAGATTTGAGATTTAGAATTCATTCCAGAGAACCATGTTTGATATTTCGTGTTATATTTGTGGGAGTAGGTTAATATAAGCATATAATATATATAAAGTATCTCATTTCCCCTTTCTGATAAAATATTTCTGAAAGGAACAGCCCTGGCCTTGGCTCTCTAACTCCCTGCCTTATTCCCCTGACTATCCTTGAGACCCTAGCTTTTTAAGGGCTAGTCCTAAGCACCATGTTCCTTGGCCCAAATCTTGAATCCCAGAGTTCTTTGAAGATTGCCCAATACATAGAGGCCCACACCCAGACAGACATGCCTCTACCACTGTCTCTGCTACATAAGGAGTACTTGCTGGCAAGCCACCAACTCTGGAGCTTCCGGAAATGTCAACAAGGCTGTCCTTGAAACCAGAGGTTGGGGGTGGTGAGAACATCTTGTGACAGGTGCCGGCTGGTTTTATATCAGTCACTATGACAAACTGCTCTTTTCAAGAGGTATTGGTGTTAAAACTCCTTCAGTTTTAAGATGGACTTTATTAACCTCTTTTGCTTTGTACAGATGAAAGTGGGGGAGGAGGTAGGGCTGGTACTGAAAATGATAATTATGTTAATCAAAAATACCACCTACCTCCAGAAAACTTTTTCATACAGCTACCAAAAAGTGATGTTTAAGCTTCATTATTCTCTCTTATTTATTTTTGAGGTGCTGAGGATTGAACCCAGAGCATTGTTCACCAAGGCAGGCACTCTACCAACTGAGCTATACTCTTAGTCCCATGCTTCATTATTCTCTTCCTACCCCTTTGAAGTTAAAAGAATGAACAAATATCAAAATAGCTACAAATGCATGGAATTAGGAGAAGAAGGAAAAAAAGTATTTGACAAACTAGTGTTTGGATCTTCTGTTTAATTAAGGATTAGGACCATGCTTTATTTTAAACAGAGAAATTATGGTAGGACCAAAAGAAATGGCTTGGGATCTTAGTAATTATATGAAAAAAAATTCTTTATTACATAAAATGTGAAAG